ATATATCAAGGCATGTTGTTTTTGATGAAAACTTTCCTCCATATACCAATCTCTCACAGCTTTCAAGTAATGTTAGTACAAGTGGAGAGCTTTGTAAATACCCAGATTATGATGAGTGGACACATGCTTCCTCACACTTACAACCCTCAAGAAAGTTAGATGAGCCTAGTTCTACACCAATCTTTATAGCAATTGGCACTGACAAAGAGAAAGATGATAACACAGCACCTAACACAACTCCAGTAATTACAATAGATGAGGAAAGTCCGTGCTTAAACCACAATGACATAGACTTCCAGCAAGATTTATCAACAACAGCATGGATTCTAGAAGATCTTGGATCTTTTCCAGCCATGATTAATACACAGGAAGCTGAGATAGCTAGTCCATCTACATCAAGTATTGGCCAAGGAGGACAAAACAATTTACAACCTTCATCCACACCAGAGACATCTAGCTTAGAACGTGAAGAAGCACCACCACCTCGTCACAATACTACTTCAGCATCTGTTCATCCTATGACTAGAGCAAAATTAGGGAAGCATACAGGACATGTTCAAATTGTGTTTCCAAAATCCACTCATGTTATGACCATTAATACCTCTTCTTTAATTGATACAGATTTCAACATTTGAGAACCCAGAACAATAAAGAAAGCATTGCAACTTCCACATTGGGTCACTGCAATGAAGGAAAAACTAGAGGCACTTCATAAAAACAACACATAGACATTGGTTCCTACACCTTCATCACAAATTAATATTGTTGGATCAAAGTGGGTGTTTAAAACAATGCTGAATCCTGATGGCAGTGTTGATAGATTTAAAGCTTGATTGGTAGCACGAGGATACTCTCAAGTACTAGGAGTGGACTTTGAGGAGACTTTTAGCCTTGTTCTAATACCAACAACCATGCGGCTAGTCATTGCTCTTGCTACAACTTTGTCCTGGCCACTTAGACAGCTAGATGTAAAGAATGCTTTTCTCCATGGCAACCTCAAGGAAGAAGTGTACATGTGCCAACCACCTAGCTTTGAAGATCTGATTCATCCTAACTATGTGCGTAAGCTTAACAAATCTACCTATGGTCTCAAGCAAGCTTCAAGGGCATGGTTTGATAGATTCACTTTCCAACTCTTGAAAATAGGGTTCTCCTACAGTAAAGCAAATTCCTCTTATTCATTCTTTGTAATGGTCAGGACACTGTACTACTTTTATTATATGTGGATGACAATGTCCTCATAGCCAGCTCATTGACATTACTACAAGAAGTTATCAACAATTTGAGTAGCAAGTTTGCCCTTAAGGACCTCGGATCTCTCAACTACTTTCTAGGTATTGAAGTTACCAAGTTCCTAGGGGGCATTTTTCTATCACAAGCTAAATATGCCAAAGATGTTCTTACTCGAGCTTCCATGCTTGAAGCTGCAACTATTACTACCCCATTGGTAGCTAAAGACATAGTTACTTCACAAGACAATGATCCCATGGATACACAAGAGTGATAGGAAAATTGTTGGGGCCTTTCAATATTTGACAATTACTAGAATTGACATATGTCATGATGTTAATAGAGTTTGCCAGTTCATGCAACAACCTACTATTACTTATCTTCGACAAGTTAAACGTATTTTAAGATATATTAAAGGGACTATGCATCATGGTCTTTGATTTTCTTCTTATAGTAAATTATCCTTAATTGGCTTTTATGATTCAAACTGGGCTGGATGTCCAATTACTAGAAGAAGCACCACAGGATTTTGTGTTTTTCTTGGAGCAAACTGTATTTCTTGGTCTTCGAAGAAGCAATCTACCGTTGCTCGTTCAACCACTGAAGCAGAGTATAGAGCATTGGCATCTACCACAGCTGAGGTCACTTGGATAACCTATCTTCTACGAGACATTGGAGTTTCCCTTCCTTATCCACCTCAACTCTTCCCGAATAACATTAGCTGATTACATATGTTTGTGAATCTTGTATTTCATCCCGTACAAAGCATATTGAGTTAGATTATCACTTTGTTCGAGAAAAAGTGGCTCTTGGTACTTTAATTATCAGGTACATTCCTAGTTCAGATTAGGTTGCAGATTTACTCACAAAACCTCTTCCACAAGCATAATTTCAACTATTGAAATCCAAACTGGGGTTGGTTGAATCACCTACCTCCAGTTTTAGGGGGAGTATGAAGGTAGAAAATCAGGATCAACGCATGAACCAAGTGAAAGGAAACAGTTGACAGAAGACTCAACTAACAGAGCTAATCAAGGAATAAAGAAAGCAGTTAATCAATCCCATGAGCATAGATTAAGGGAAGACCAATACAACGATTGAAAGGCGACAACTCTACAGTATCATGAAAATAATATTTATATTCCTTATTTGTATGCATAATTATAGGATCTAGATTTGCTCTTATGATTGTATATAATAGCTACTTAATGTACAGAATACATCTTAACAAAAAGACAATTCAGAATTGTATTTAGACATCCTTCCCTTGCACTAATTTTCTTCAGTGTGAGCAGTGAACCTGCTGATAGTGTTCTTGTCTTCGCAACAACTATTTTTTTTTTTTTGTTAGATTTGAGTCTACAGAGCTATATTATCAAGAGAAATATTGTGAAATAAATGAAGATAGAGAAGATGGATACAATGATCACAACCATGAGATTACAGGAAAGGATGTCATGGAAGTGGTCTCTATTGGAAATGGTTCCTTGAATTGTTCGAAACAAATATGGAAAATCCAAATGAGGCTTGAATTTTAAGTCCTAAAAGTTACCATATATTATAATTTTAAGTCCCAAAATAAGACAAACTAATTATTAATTAAGAACTAAACTGTTCACATAACTATAGTTTAGAGACCGAAGGACAATTTAGCAAACATGTGTTATCTTGGTATAGCAGTTCCAAATTAATTAATAGTTCACAATGGTTTCTTTTATTACTTAAGTATTGGAAAAGGATCCTAACTTTTTCTAAATTCTCAATTGAGGTCCTCAACACTTATTGTGCTCAATCAAGGTCTTGAACTTATACAAACTCTCAAATAAGGACCTAATTAGAGGGAATCTTATCCATCTGTTAATTCTCACATAACCATCTATTGTGGTCCGTTACCCCTCAATACGTGGCATGCCAATTGCACCAATAAGGTGGACTGTAAAATATATATTTTCCAACTTTGGCATGTGTGATCCCTCAACCCCTTTTGCTCCCATCTCTCTTTTCTTTCCTATTCCACAATTTGGGGGTGAAATCCTTGAAATTTTTAGTTTGACATCTTTTTCTTATCTAGCCAACAACAACCCATCCAATCCTTGGAATTCTCCACCGAACAGCCTGCTTCTCTCCATTCAAGATCTTATTCTAAGGCTTTATGTAGACATACTTCCATTTCAACTAAATTTCCTCAAAATTATTGATGACTTCTTCATTTTTATTTTTGGGTTTCATTGAGCCTAATCTTGGTGGCGAGATAAAGTTCAGCGGTGTCGTACAATTCCATCCTTGACATGTCAACAAATTTGTCGATGGTGAGAGTGAGGTTGGAAGAGAGAGGAGTGAAGAAGGAATGAAAATAAAGAGTAAAGGTGAGATCTAAGCAGCTCAAGAATGAGGTCGTCGGTCATGGAGCGGAAGAGCATCATGGTTCCGATAAAGGAGGCAAAGGTGGAGAACAATGTTGATGCAATATTGGACATGTTCGATAGGGAAAACTTGGTAGCCATTTCTGAATTGATATTCGAGAAATTGGTTGTGAAGAAATTGGGGTTCAGTTTGAGGATTGAGGTCAAGAATAAAGTGCACTTGCTCTTCTTCTTTTCCTCTGATTGCTGCTGATTTTTCTTCTACAGTTTAATGTTGTCTAGTGCTAATTGTTTGTTTGATTTGGTATAAGTGATATGTTTGAAAATCTTATAGGGAAACAACGATATTATTAGGATAATGGTCATGATTGTTTTAGTGTAAATGGCTTCTTTTGTGATGTTATATGTAATGGTCATGATTTTTTTAGGTAAATGGTGATTCTATGTTTGTATATTAGCCATGATGGAAATGGCCATTTGATTGTAATCCATTCAATGATAGCAATGAAAATTATGTTTACTGTCATCTTGTCATCTTGATATAGAACATTTTATTGGGATGCTGAAAATGGACAAAAGTGAGGGAAACTTTGCCAAAATGATAAAGGAAAACAAGGGGAAAGAAACCTTTAATATACTAAAATTGCAACTTCAAACAAAAAAAAAGGAGAGGAAAAAAAAAACATTGGAAAACTCCAAGCCATGCATACTTGGAACTTCAACCTTTAACATATTTTATATAAGAAAACTCAACTAAAATGCACAAATAACACTTTCTTTCCCACTTAAATACTAAAATTGCATAAAACCAAGTTTGGTTTGTCTATACAAGAAAACTTCAAACCAGACATAAGACAATCCAAAAGTGCCTAAAATAAAGTTTAGGTACACATAAAATGAAGTCTAGTTTCCTGCCATAACTTAGCTTCACATAAACAAAAAAAACCTGTTAAAACACATTTAAGCCAACCAAAAGTTTAATTTTTTTTCTTAGAAGCCTCCTTTCCTTTGCCCTTTCTTTGGTTTCCCTGCTTAGAACTTTCTCCAACTTCATTGCTTAGTCTAATCTTCCTAAACCCTTGTTATGGTCCTCTGCTCTCTCTTTGTCTTTCACTTGATACAAGTTTTTTAGAAAGAGTTTCAAGCTGTTTCAAGCATACAATTAAACCGAATAACATCATAAACCAAACAATAATTTAAATCCTAGAAAACATTAAACACAAAAACATGTAACAAATATGCACTTACATTCAAAATAATATCCCCTAGTCAAAATTGTTTTTTATAGTCAGCCTTATGTGTCTGGTTGGCATGCCACCTATTGAGGGGTAACGGACCACAATGGACAGTTATGTGAGAATTGATGGATGATTAAGATTCCATCCAATTGGGTCCTTATTTGAGAGTTTGTATGAGTTCAAGACCTTAATTGAGTGCAATAAATGTTGAGGGCCTCAATTGAGAATTTAGTAAAAGTTAGGGTCCTTTTCCAATACTTAAACTTTCTTTTAATGTAACAAATAATAGTTTGAATTATTAAAAATAACAATAATAATTATCAACTATCAAATTAAAAGAAATTGTTAACAAAATGATATATATATTAATTCAAGCTTCTTCCCCAGAGACATTGCTTTTGTGAACCGTTGGAACGCATTCTGCGATTGGGATCTATCATGGCTATGATGATTAATAGGTGATGGTAGTAGAATAGTAAACTTTAGCTTGAACCATCCTAACTTGTGTACTAGAATAGTAAACTTTTAATTTCAAGTGACAGTAGAATATAATGAATAGGAACAAGAATACCCTTGTACTCCAATATCAAAAAAAAAAATTAGATGATAAAAAAAAAAAAAAAAGGTGATGGTATTAGCATTTGTAATTTGTATATGTAGAGAATATTAGTAATTAGTGTTACTAAGAAATTACAATATTTCAATAAATAACATACTATAGAAAAAAGCTACAATAGTCTTCTTAGATTTTTTTTTATCTCAAATAAGTTATTTTAGTTATTTTTCATGTTGGTATTTATTAAAAAAACATAGTTATATACTTCTAGACTCCTAATTTTTTTAGAAGTAGGATTGACATATGGAATTGAAAGATTAAGGACCAAAATAAGACAAACTAATTATTAAGAATTAAACTGTTCACACAACTATAGTTTAGAGACCAAAAGGGCAATTTGGCTAACATGTGTTATTTAGGTATAGCAGTTTCAAATAAATTAGTAGTTTTTAGTAGTTTCTTTTAATATAACAAATAATAGTTTGAACTATTAATAATAACAATAATAATTATCAACTATTAAATTAAATGAAATTGTTAACAAAACGATATATATACTAAACACCCCAAATCAAACTCTCACCTTATAATGAGGGGCTACATTCGGATGACACGAATTCCCATTGGCCTGATTGATACTTCCAGAAAAAGGGCCTTCATTGTAACCTCCAGCACCAGGGCCTATGTTGATGCTTCCTAAGGAGATCAAAATGACATTTTCACCTTTGGTCATATGATCAATGTCGAGATGTTCTGTTTTAGAGCCAACAATAATCCGAGCTTCTTCCCTAGAGGCATCGGTTTTTTTATTTGTTGGGAGGTCTTTTGCGGTTGGCATCTGTAATAGCTATGGTGATTAATAGGTGATGGTACTAGAACAGTAAATTTTTAGCTTGAACCATCTTGACTTGTGTGTTAGAATAATAAACGTTTGGCTTGAAGTGACAATAGAATATAATGCATATAGGTAAGGATACCCCTTATGCTTCAACATTATAAAAAAGAAAATAAATTGGATGATAAAAAAAATAGGTGATTGTACTGGCATTTGTAATATATTTATAGAAAGAGAAAATATTAGTCATCAGTGTCACTAAAAAATTACATTATTTCAATAAATAAAGTACTATAGAAAAATGCTACAATACTCTTAAAATTTTTTTTTATATAGTTGGAATTCATAATAATAATAATAATCAACTATCATATTAAAAGAAATTGTTAACAAAATGATATATGTACTAAACAGCCCAAATCAAACTCTCACCGTATGATACAAATTCCCCTTACCTGATTGATAGTTCCAGACCGAAAGCCTTTCTTACAACCTCCAGCACCAGGGCCTACATTGATGTTTCCTAAGGAGATCAAAATGATAAACACTATTATTCCATGCACAAATCACTTGATTTGCCTTAAAAATTTTCAGAGATGAGATAGAGAGGTAGAGAGAGAGAGAGAAACCAGGGACTAAGGACTCGAGACAGGAGGACAACACAAAGCAAGAGCAGGTTTAGAAGCCAGGGACGAGGAGGGTTTACACATGGAAATCAAATTGTAGAAGGACAAGGGAAGAGAGACGAAGGAGTAAGAGTTTTTGATCCCAGGGTGTATAATCAAGCCACTGCATATTTTTTTACAAACTTTTCGGCAAAATGGACTTTTGAACAGATGTGGAGAACATTCAAGAAGTTTGGTAGAGTTTTAGACATTTATTGTTCGAACAAAAAAGGAAAAGATGGCAGAAGGTTTGGCTTTGTTAGATTTCAGGGATTTGCAGATGAAATAGCACTGGAGAGTCAATTGGATATGATTGTCATTGACAGATTGAAGCTAAGAGTAAATTGGCCAAGATTCAACAAAAGTAGGAGAAACATGCCACTCAAAACTGAGAAAAAAACAACCATCATATGAAATGAAAGGGATAGAAGAAGCTTAACAGAAGTGGTTGAAGGAGCGTCGATCCCAGGGGAAAAGGAGAGCACAAGAGGTAGACTTTCTATGGTAGGGAAAATGGGTAAGAAAGAATGGAAAGCCAAACAGGATGGAAAATGCTGGTCTGGATTGGAATTTGTTGTGGAAGAGGAAGAGTATACATGGTTGAAGGGGTGTTACGTAGGAGAAGTCCATGCGATGGAGATGATGCCGCTGCTTCAAGAGAAATTATTGATGGAAGGCATTCCTTGGATTAGAACTTGTGCAATGGGTGGCAAGCTTGTATTGATAGATGTTGATGACAAGGAAGAACTCAAGAATCTTGTGG